TTGTTCAATTGTTGTATTTATATTTTTTTCATAGTTTTTTAGTCAAAATCTCAGTGGAGAGCGTCAGATAGATTTGCCTAACAATGTCATAATCATTGCAATATCATCGAATAACTTAAATTAGGTGAATATATTTTTAATCAAACTGCTATTATAAACATCTGGCAATATGCATTGGCCCCTCGGATTATAGTAACTAACTATTTACAACTTATTCATCAATTATTTTCTCACTAATACTCGTATTTACAGGTGATTTTAATAAAATTAAATTCGCCCTTTATGATTCTGTTAACTATAGCTCTGCACCAATTTATAATATTATTACCAGTATTATTTCCAAGGACTTATGGTTGCCATAATTTTGTACACATCATGCAGACCACATCTCGCCTTTTTTAATCAAATATACTACCCAATAATATTTAATATGTAATTATATACATTATCCACCGTAGTCCTATAGAGCATAACTTTATAAGCCTATAACTATACCAGGTAATTTCTGTAAGTCTAACACTCCTACCTAATTATATTGTTGTTTAGCGTTATTTTCTCATCGATTTTATCATATCCAACCCACCTGTTGTTTTTCATTAATGTACAACGTATATAATGTTTGTCTGTTTTAAAAATATATCCTACAATCATATTTAAATTATTTTTGCAAGATGTAAATATTTTGTCGAATTAGACTTTCCGACATTATATCCCAAAATTATAAGTTAGACTAAGCATGCCAAATGTGACATCATTAGGATTAATAACTCGATGGTCACTTATTAAGGAAATACTATACCGATTATGTATGACGTAGAAACTTCCATGTAACATGTGCTAATTAGAAATTAACAAACTAAAACACATTAAGTATGAGGAGCGTACAACACATAGGTACTTGTAAAGCACAATTTGACCACATATATTAATAATCCTAACTTAAAATGTAATTCACGTATTTGTAGTTTTAGTGCACGTCATATTATATATTACACAGACAATATCGAAGAAAATATTGAGTACATGATTTTTTTTAAATTCTTTTTTGTAATTTTCTCATCCATGTGTCACACCACCAAACCGTTGGTGAATACGAAATCAAAATTAATTAAATACAAAATGTAAATAATAATTTATAATTACAATGAAAATATATTTTTAATTTACTACTCGATAATATTATGTTATTGCCTATTGGTAGAGTTGGTTAGTATAAGAATAAAAAAATATTCAAATAAAGATAAACTATTATTCAATTATGGATGAAAAATATTACATAATATCCCACAGAAGACTAAATGGATTTAATAATAAACGAATTGACGGCTAACCAAACGTGATTACTGCGATAACGCCTCAAGACGTATAATATGTAACTGGCATGCTATATTATTTTTGCAATATACTGGTGTGGTGTCTATAATAGTCAATACATTAAACATTGTTCTAAATTATTATGGGTAATTTAAATAGAGTCTAATAACATAGTATTAGAATCAAAGTGCATTATGTAACTCAATGCCCCTATAGAGCACCAATAGCGTTTTATTTTTGTACTTAAGAAATCTTTAGTCATTCATCAATCACTGGTAGTCTAATGTTTAATGTAGACATAAATACGATTAATCAGAAATGTATGTTATGATAAATGATGATGTTATCTATGTCATATTTGTACCACAAAGTAAACATTTTTTTTATTATAATTGAAACCTCGTGTTAGAAAAATTAGTTATTTACCTAAATAATATATTATAATATATTGAAATATGATTGTCTTTGGTTGGTTGGTAGTTAATGAAAGTAACCTACCTATCTAGAAAAAAAACTAAATGTTAAAATTCTGTTAAAAACAAAACAATTATTAAACTTTTTTGTTCATAAAATATTATGCTTATATTTATGAATATTATATCGTATATTTGTACATAAAACTATACTCAAAAATATTTTAAATAATAAAACTGTTCACTGTACAATTCACTGTACAACAGCATCCAGGGAAACGTCATGTGTATCACACTCGCGTGACTCGTCAAGATGATATAACGATTGACTAACCTAACAAGTCTCATAATCCAAATTGTGTTATAAATAACCATTTTTATCAATTCAAATAAATAGCACTGACCCATAAAATAAATTATGTACCCATGTAAAAAAAAATAAAAAATATAATAAAAACTACGATGTAAAATTGTAATTATTTGAAGTTTGTTTTATTAACTACAATATATTTATTTTTATCATCCAACCCGTGTACTGTTCCAGTGAAACTATAGTATAGGGAGTAAAAATCTATTCATACAAAAAACATACACAATTTAGTTCTTAAATATTGTATAGGTACTTACTTGTTTCTGGCTGAAGTTCCATTAAAATATTGTCGGCCATCTTTTACCGCCAAACACGATGGTTAAATATTGTCAACTTTTTATTTTTATCGTCTATTTTATTATTATAGTTTCTAACATGTATTATAATTTATATCATTGTAGTATGACTTTTACCAAGCCTTATCATCGGAGCTACCTACCTTTACGTCTTAATGGTGCCATTATTAACCATTTTTAAGTAAGCCGTCACCTGTAGATGCACAATTATTAATCAATTGAATACCTATAATTTGTTATCATCAATTTCATGGTGTTGGTCACTATATCAAAATATTATCAATAAAGATCTATTATAAATTATTATTTTAGTTAGGTATACATGTATTATAGGTAGATACGTATAATTGTAATGTACTTTCATTCGACACAGCAGTTTTATGTAAACACTAAACACTCATTTCACTATATTATTATGATCCTCATTATTATTACTCTTCGCTATCATTGTTTTGACGTTGTTAACAATTTTTTCTTTGACCTATGCACGTAAGTAGATACGACCAAGTGTCTACGTATTTTATTTTATTACATTACATTGTGTTTATATGGGTACGGCATACCGGTAAGACGGGTGTTATGTATGCTGTCTAGTATCTCATGACCGTTTATCATTTAAAACGACAGGGCTTAACCAAAAAGTAAGAGTGACCTCAGTAGGCCAAGCAAAAACTGTTGGTAGAGGTATCTATAACGTTACGAGATTTCACGTTTAAACCGGTTTTGTTCATGATGGTGTGCTGCTGGCTGCTGCCGCTACAACTTCAGTGATACATAATATTATAATATATTTTCTGAACTCGGTTATGAAATGCGAAATACTACCTGATATAATATTTTATTATTTATATCGGTAACTGTCCCATTTTATTTGGTTTTGTTTTCATCCACAATATTCGTGCTCGAAACCGACGACCGGCCTTTTCGGAGTAAGTACATTCAACGGCAATAAATAATATCATGGTGTCGTGTGTGTATTATTATCACGTGGCTTAAAGGTTGGCAAATTATGTAATAATTCATACGATATAACCACGTGCTGACATTTTAATCGGCAAAATGTTTACATGTTTTAAACAAAGGTCGTCGATAGCACGTGTAAATATAGTAGGTGTATACCTAAATACCGTTGTTTCAGTTGACTATATTTATTAGTAAAATTTTATTTGACTTTTGGGTTTTGTTTCGTTTTCAGAATGTTTAAAGTGGGAGTATCCTAAAACTTTATTCTTTTCACAATTGTTGCCACGATTCAAATGTTGTTAGACTATTCATTCGATGGTACCTATCAGTCTTGAGTATTATTACAATACTGTTAAAATACATTTCTCAGAAGTATTGTACTCCTATAAAAAAATACTTTTTATTTACAATAGTTGTTTTTCTTGTTTTTCTGGATTTTTTTACAATACTATTCACATTTTAAATCAAGTACCAACAATTTAAATTATATAAGCTATATTTAGAATTACTTAATTATATATGTTTATGCTAATTTTAAATATTTAAGTTTTAAGAAGAGTACCATTTGTAAAAAAAAATTAAAAACAAAACCTAGAAAGCATTATAAAAGTATTTTAGGGGACGAGGTGACCGAGTGGTCTGACTCTTCCGCTGCGACGCAGCCGGTCGCGGTTCGATCCTCGGCCACCGGGCGGCATTTTTCTCCGGACAAGTCGCGGTGACCGGAGAGCAAGTGCTGCCATCCCCCACCCCCGGGGCATGGCAGAAACCTACGGGTGCCCCATTCGAAATTCTGCCAAAACAAACACACACGTGTTCCCCCTACCGTTCCAAAAACCTACAAACCATCAATACAAAAACCTACAGTACCTACTAATAGCTAATGGCCACAGTTGCCGGGCTCAGGATCAAAAAAAAAAAAAAAAAAAAAAAAAAGTATTTTAAATATTGTATTCGGATTACTATTTTGCATATATTATGACGTTTAGTGTTCGAGTATTTATTCCAAAATACTTATTAAAACTTAAAAGTATTTTACCCAAGTCTGGTACCTATACGTGTTACAATCATAATATCAACAGCGCCTATGCAATATGCATTAACGGTCCTTGAAAAATAAAGTCAAAAGGAAATCGGTACCGAATTCGAAATAATATCCACTGAACCACAACCATAGAACTATTAATTTCCTTTGTCATTTGATTAAAAAAGCGGCCAATCATTCATCCGTGATAACATTTTATTAATATTACGTATTTTATTTTATATCACAATCCACGATATGGGAGCTTCTATGAATGGTCGTCTTGGTATTATTTGAATAGAACAATTCGGAGTGTATAAAGCTAAAATCACGACCAAAAACCATTATAGTTATTATGTTATAATAATATACGTTAAGTAACCTTGGAAATAAAAATAATATTATTATTTGCATATAACAACAGATCCACAGCAATTGACGATCTAAACGTGTGAAAATAGGTACAATATTATGCTACTATGGTAATAAAAGTGTAATACACAGGCTCTTGACGTAAATGGACTTTTGTTATAAAACATTGTTTAGCATTTAAAAGATGACAAATTCTTCATTTTGAGCAAAAAAACTTACTTAGTTTGAGTTATATTATACTATAATAATGGCTTACACTTATCAAATTCGCTCGTTGCTAACAAACAATAAACAACGAACGTGTCTACGCTTCAGTAAAACAGTTGTAAGCACGTACGACTCACTCTTTTTTACACAGAGTCCACAAAAAAAAAACAGTACTTATACAGATATAAAAAAAATTTATGTAATATACAATATCACAATATTCAAAACAATCAAGATCAGTTATTAGCCTATGCCTACCCGAAATTAATAAATTGTACAAGGATCCAGAACATCAGTACTCGTGTTTTCACACTAAAAAAAATTCTAACAGAATATAATATTAAAATAATAATTATTGAAACCAAGTTATTTTTTGTACAGGCTAAGTTTAAAAAAAAACATATTTATCTTACAGTTACAAAAGTATTGTGTATAAAACGAAATTATGAAAAAAACTAATGACTAGAATTGCATCGATCATAATATTATTATAGAGTTACAACAATTATAATTTACATAAATCAGCTCTCGAGTACTTAAGTCGTTCCCAAAACAATGACAAATTGTAGCAGGGCTAAGCAATAATTAGATTTTCAAAAACACGGGTGAGTGCGATTGGATAAAACGAATTACACGAAATGCGGAGTCACCCGTCAAATAAATAAATAATAAATAATTAAAATAAAAGATATAAATTAAAAAAGCGACGTCCTACGTAAACGGTTACGATTGTAAATGCATGGCCTAAGAAAATAATGTTCACATAACGACGTAAAGTGACGTTAAAATTCAGTCAAAAAACGTAATAGGTAATTAAAATGTGGTATAATATATTATTATGATGGTCCCGTCATCAAGGTTTAAAGACGACCGGGGAACCGTGAGACCTATGGCTCCGACGCGGACAAGCGACCAAAATCGAAAAAGCCGCGTAAACCTACCGGAATCCGATCGGTGACGTCTCCCGAGGAAGGTCGTCCTCCTCGGGATCTGAGACCGTCCTCTGAATCATCGTCGTCGTCGTCGTCGTCGTTGTCGTCCTCGAGACGGTCTCGAAACGGCAGGCCTCGGCGAGCTCACTGCTGAATCGGCTTCGAGGACTTGAACAGTCGGGCGGGGTGGGAATGAGGGGGTCGTTGGGGAGGCGCGATCAGTTTCCGTTTCGCAGGTTGGCGCTGGACACGAGGTTCGCCTGAATCCAGTGGTGGATCTCCAGCGGGCATTCGGGCTTCATCCGTGGCGCCTCCTCCAGGTCACCTGGCCTCTCCTTGGCGCCCTTGACCAGCAACTCGCCCATCAGCACCTCGACGTCGCAGTTGATCACCCTCTGCCGGCAGTGCACGATGGCGTTGACGAAGTCGTCGCCCCGGCTCACGAATCGGTGCTCCATGTAAATCGAGTCCCGGTCCCAGTAAATGATCCGGGACGATATGCTGTACAGGCTGAACGTCCGGATGAACTTCCGGTACCGGATGCTGGTGCCACCCTGTACGGGCAGCCCGCCCTTCTCCCGGATCGCCGTCCACAGCCCGGTGCGCGTGTAGAACTCTGTCCGGGCGAAGTCCACCTCCCGCAGGTACCTCGAGTTATTCATGTGGAACAGCAGGAAGTCCACGTCCGTGGTCAGGCACGCCGAAGAGTACGAAGTAGTGTCCAGTATGTGCACGTACTTCTTCATGATCCGGCACATTGTCGCACACCACAGGGTCCGGGCGAAATAGTGCACTTCGAACACCCAGTACAGAAGCACGATCACTAGCAGCGCGGTCACCGCGACCGTGTACGTGTCGCACGACAACAGGAAGTTAATCATTTTTGCTCGGTTTAGAAAACGTTCAATATAATAATACGATTGTTATATGCTTTTAATAACAATATTATCAAAATAAATCTATTTGCAAGAGCCACGCGGAACTCTGGGACCCTCGGCGTCACTCGAAACACACATTGCTGCTGGCCATGGCGACCAATAGCGGCCGTCTCGATAGACTCTTATAGGACCGAACGCGATGGAGTTTGTCGGAAACGAAGGCCGGATATCAAGCAAAAAATAAATAAAAACAAGAGTACGAATACAAACGCACGCCGGAAAAATGTGAATTATTTTATAATAATAATAATAAATAATATTATTATTATCTTTTCGACAAACACAATGTAATGTTATGATTTTCACACCACTCGCGTGTCAGTTACAGTTGCGTATGACCATCGCACGGGAAATATGTAAGTGCGCACGTCCAACAATAATAACATTTTGATGTCGACGAAATAAAAATCGATACAGCGTACCTATAAAATAGCAACGAAATCGTATAATATTCAATCGTCCCGTTATAAAAAATTATTTTCTGTCTCTCGTGCGCGCTGTTCGGCTGCTTCGGTCACCGTGAAAGATATGACTGCGCGTGTGTGTCGATCGCGACCCGACTCGTAAACATAAACAAACATGGGAACACGAGTCGTCGGACGGCGGCGGAGGTAGCTAATACGTCGACGAGTGACTTTCCGCGAGTGCAACCCCTACCATCACAATATTATTATTATTATTATTGTTATTGCTATTGATATTCGTATTATAATATTATACAATACGATGAGACGTATACCAGTCGAACACGCCTATAATATTATTATTACTATTACTATTATTGCATACTTTTTGATGACTGTGCCGACTACGCAGTGTTCGCCGACGCCGTAAGCAAGAAACGAGACATAATATCTGACCATACTTTTTTGTTATTTATTATTATTATTTGATTTTTTTTTTAAGTCATATAATAATAATGTATCATTTCGATTGCGTGCAGCCGTCGCAGGTCGCCTATAACAGCCGTCGGTATAATACGTTGTTTAGGCACGGTCGGTACAAACTACCAGTTTATAAAGTCAACATGTGATGAGCTCGCCCCTGCAGTAAGTATCTCACTTGGTTGGTAACCGCTTGTCGGCTTTTGAAATCTCTCCCGTGGTTTGCATACGCGGAAATCCATTGAAAATATTAGGTTTTTCACTATTTTTAAAAAGAACCTAAATCGTATTGGGCTTCGCCCCTCAATAACTGTTAGACTTCTGAGGACTTACCCCCCTCTCCGATATCCACCTATGATGATGTTTATTTATTTTTTTATCTTTCGAATAAAACGACATTTAAATATAATTCAAGTGAAAAATCCGTTACCCATTGTTTATGATTATAATCCTTGTTTTAGATGCTGAACTAAACGATGGACTTATTGGTTTTACAACTAGGGTCGTGTGTCAGGCCTCACGTTTTAGAACAGTGAAAAGATTAAATTCCTGGAAGCAAACTAAAATATCTAGTTGGTACTTTACAGTGGTGATCAAAAGTAAGATATTCCCAGTAGGTGCAAACTTTTTTAAATAATTGAGAAAAAAATCAAGGAAAAGCGGTAACTTTCATACAAAATCAATCAGTTCCGACAAAGTTAATCTTTTTTATTTGTTGTGATTCAAAAATGAATAACTTTGGGGGTTTTTTCACAAAATATTTAAATCAGCGTTTTCTTGATCTGATATAAACTTCAAAATATTTAGGTTATTTCTGTGCTTTTCATATTGTCTATAGACATTTGAAATGTTCGACATTTTTAAATTTTCTTTTCGATTTACGTATGCTTACATTTTTGTCTGTGAGCAGAATAGCTTGAAAATATAATACAACATTCCTCATACATTATTTGTTCAGAAATTCAATTTGTATAGCTAAGAAGTTTGAATATATGTATACCTACAGCTGCTACAAGGTTCTTGATAAGTTATATTCGTAGCAACCTAAACATTTCAAAAATAAATAATAATTTCAAGACTCATTTTCACAAATTTTTACGACAGTTAAATAATTCTAAGGAAAATAATAACCTTAAGTATCAGTGTTAAATATTTAACTATGTTCGTATTAAATTAAAAGGTCTATTACTTTATCAAGTTCGTATTGAAATAGTGGAGAGGCATTAAAAAATAGTAAATTATGTAGAATTATGATCAAGTTTCATTTCTATACTATTATTTGTTGTGTAATTTATCATAAGTCTATGGAGAAAACCTTGGTAACACAAGTATCATAAATCCCAGGTTTTTTCCATTAATTTATCTCAGACTCCAAAGGGTAAAATAAAAATATACTGTAATTATTTTTAATGTTAGCTAAGTCACATAGAAGATAGAACACATGATAATCATGGTCACACTAAAATGTAATATCGAGATCGAAAAAAATCATCACCAATAATACAGAATTTTGAATCTCTGTTAACTGTTCCAGAGTATAAGTATTAGTTAGCCATATTTGAAATAATATTATGTTTGAAGGTCAATTCGACGTCAACACAATTAATTACAATCAGTTATCATTCTGCAATATTGAGAACAGCCTGCTACATATTATTATACACTTCCTGTTGATTTCTAACAACGTCTTTTTCGTCGCTTTCATTGATAATGAAAAACCCGTTTGTTTAGGATAGGTACTTCTACGAACGGCAATGCGTATATAAATTAAAAAGTAATTCTCATCTAGAAAAAAATCGAACGAATGTACCTGACTCCCTATTGTTGTATTGTTTGAATCAAAATATCAACTGGGAAAGTTTAAACCATGTGAGTAATATTGTTGGATCTACTAAGTTCACAGACAATATTAATTGTAACATTTGCAACACTTACACGTGTTATTTTTTAGGCATATAGTTGGCATAACAATGTGGTTTTTTCAGCAATTGGACCTGATTATACATCGTGTATACCTGTCTATATTAGTCCTATTATATTAAAACCAATAAATACATTATATTATAATATAATATAAAGAAATGTATATTTGATTATCATATTATAAAGTTTACTATTTCAAAATACTTATAGATGTGCGTATAATGTTGTGTTATTTAATATTATAGGTAGTGACTATTGAATGTTGATGAAGAATAATTAGAATCTACGATTATTTTAATACAGGAAATATATATTTTAAATATTCACTTATTTCACTTCAGTTTTCAATTAAGTAAAATGTATTAATAATATTATTTTATTATTTCAAAATAATGTAACGTTGAACGTGGTTCATTGTTTAATATTATTAGTAACTCATTACTATTTACTAATCATCATTACATCATTACAAAATAACTGTAACATATTGATATAATAATATGATCAGTTTTAAAAATATCGTTATATCGAAAATGATGTATCTGCTTATTGAAAAATAATATCGATACTGTCCAGGATATTATTTATTATTGATTCTAAAATCTGAATGTTTATTTTACGCCGACTATATTCTACTATTTTCAACCATTATTGTAGCTATGGCCTGCATATGTGCAGGAAAACATATTTTTTTAATACAGTATTCTGGTTGGTTATATTTTTGCAAATTTTATCAATTGGCAGAATGAGAACCAATTAACATAAACAAATGTGATGTAATTGGTATATCACTTTCATCAATTTAAAATATCCTATACTTTTTTATTAAGGTTTTTTTGATTCTTAAAGCAATATCACAATTAGACATATGGGCTATCAGACTAATTTTATCGTTGTTGTAAGTATCTTAAATTCCAAATGGATTTATTTAAAAATATTATTAATCAACAATCAAATAATATTACAAACTATTTTGTTCAATCCTTATAAACGGCATCAACGGCAGTGGTGATGGGCAATGGTATTTTTATTCAATAAAAAAAAACAATATTTACTATTTTTTAAACAAAAGAACAGTTATAGCAGCCAAAATATATGACAATACCTAGTAGTCTTTCTTACTTATACAACGAAATTAATTGTATTATATAAATGTATTACCTGAATAATCCTAAAAATCTAATCTTTGCTGGCGGAGTTAACACTATAATAATGTACAATGCGTAAAAATCAAGGTGGCCGAGTGAACACGGAAATACCATGTATAATGTATTATATAGTTTGACATAATCAATATATTATAGTCTACGTATTTACATAAATATTCAATACCTGAACATTATTGAAAATATTAGATGTAATATACCAAGAATTAAATTCCATTTTAATATTTACTTCTCTAGGTAGTTCTAATATATAAATTTGTTCATTATATAAACGTATTCCTTCCACAGTTGAATAGTAAGATTAAAATAAATTGGATCTCTTTTTGTTCTTGGTTTCAGGTAATTATTTTTAGTATCTATATTTATAACCATTTTGTTTTCAAATCAATTTTTAATAACCATTAATGAATACCTACCAACTAAATTATAGAATACATAGTTAATATTAAGCTGACACATATCTATATTGAACTCATTATATTATTATATCGCACATTCACAATATACTTGGAAATTCACACGTTAAAAATAGATAATGGGCAAGTAGGTAACCAATACTTAACCTTGTAACGTAATATATTAAAATTGGTGTGTTTAGTGTGAAATATAGAACAGTCTATAATTTTTTTATAATTCAAAATTACGAACTGCATAATAATTTTTTTATTTTTCCGGGTACTATACACATGATTATCCACAGGATTGAGCACCAAAATATAAACGGACTGTTCATTTTATCTACAACAAGTATAACACGATTACTTTCAAAAGAAGTCCAGTTGTCAAAAATAAAATAGTTAAAATGGTGTCATTTTTTTTATGTTATGTAAGCAAATAAACATATTTCAAATTACGATTTTTATAGATTCATTTTAAGACACTTATATACAAATATCACCAAAAAAATCAGACATTACAGATATGGGGTTGGCCATACATCCCAGAAGCCCAAGTCCTAAGTGGACAATGGGCGATAGTGTAGAATATAGATACTTAATATATATGTAAAATATACTTCAATTAATGTTTTATTCAAATTCAAACCAAAACTACTACCTATTATCAACCCTGTAAAAAATTCTAAAAACAACATCACATTGGCATTTTGATTTTCATGAAATATGAATATCGTAAGACGAGATTTTGAGACCATTAACTGACACACATAGTAATGCCGAGTACTTATATGTATACATACATTCTACAGAAAATATTTTTCTTCAACAGTAAACAAAATTATTAAGCTTAACTTAGTTATCTTAGATTGTTAACACATACATCATTAATTTATACAAGAAATCCAAAACAAAGAAGCTGATGATAAATATAAAAAATTATGCATGAACCAGTTAAAAAGTTTTAAAAAATTTAATTTTTTACTTCACTGCAGTTAGTTATTTTCTGAATCAATTTAATTACTTAACTATCTAAAAGAATCCGTCATAATAATTTGGCTCTTTAATTTAATATGAAAAATAATATATTCAATCAAATCCATGTTTATACATAATAGGTATTACTATAGTTAAATTTTTTATTGAATTAATAAGTGATACAAATTTTCAATAAAGTTAATACTTATT